GACATTCCACCTGGCATTCTATCTGGCAGTCTATCTGGCATTCTATCTGACATATTTTCTGACATTTCATCTGACATATATTCTGGCATTCTACCTGTCATTTATTCTGACATATATTCTGGCATTCTATCTGACATATATTCTGGCATATATTCTGGCATTCTATCTGGCATTATATCTGACATATATTTTGGCATTCTATCTGACATATATTCTGGCATATATGTTGGCATTCTATCTGGCATTATATCTGACATATATTCTGACATTCTATCTGACATTCTATCTGGCAGTCTATCTGGCATTCTATCTGGCATTCTTTCTGGCATTCTTTCTGGCATTCTATCTGGCATTCTATCTGGCATCCTATCTGACATTCTATCTGGCATTCTATCTGGCATTCTTTCTGGCATTCTTTCTGGCATCTATCTGGCATTCTATCTGGCATCCTATCTGACATTCTATCTGGCATTCTATCTGGCAGTCTATCTGACATTCCTACATGAGGTCCGGCAGGGAACACTGGGCGCGGATGGTCGCGGTTGAGGTCCGGCAGGGAACACTGGGCGCGGATGGTCGCGGCAGGGAACACTGGGCGCGGATGGTCGTGGTTGAGGTCCGGCAGGGAACACTGGGCGCGGATGGTCGTGGTTGAGGTCCGGCAGGGAACACTGGGCGTGGATGGTCGTGGTTGAGGTCCGGCAGCGAACACTGTGGATCGCGGGTCGCAGTTGAGCAAGGACGACGAGGACGACGAGGAGGAGAGGAGGAGGAGGAGCAGGAGGAGGAGCAGGAGGAGGAGCAGGAGGAGGCAACTGACATAAAATCTAACAACCCTCACCTGGCAGGTGGGGAACCAAGAGCTTCTCCGTTCCGAACTACAAAGTCTCAGCCCACAAAAGTGGCCCGGGCAATCGAAGCGAGGCGAAAGGGATCCAGAGCTAAGGCGTATGCCCGGCTTTCACGAAAGTTTTTTTTCCTTCCAACTCGTAAACTGGTACGCAGGCGATGGTGATGCCAGCTCTCTTGACATTGTGTTCCAGAAGCTGCAGGGTTTGTCGGCCCCAAACCACCGAAAAAAGTGGGCCCCGCCGCCCGAATTCACGCATGCGAAACAGTGTTACGATGGACCTGGCAATCCAAACCATACCGAAAGGTCGCATCCAGTATCTGGCCTGGTATGGCCTGGTGACCCCCTCCAGGTAATGGCAATCTTAGCTGCGCAAAATTGCAAGAAACACCATCCCAATTTTACCACAAATGGGTGGTATAAACCATTAAAATATGGGTGGTTGATTATTGCTTTACCAACATCAATGATCATTGTTAAACACTAATAATCACCATTAATGATCATTATTAACTGATGATCAACCATCACAAACCATTAACCATTGAAATCCAATGTTTTTTCCCAAACTTTTCACCCAACTGCGGTTATGGCCCAACTAACACTTATGAATGATATACACACATATAACTCCTATAAACTAAGGTTTTCTACCATTTTCAGCCCATTTAGAGCTGTTAAGGGCCATCACTTGACCCGAAAAAAATCCGCCACCCCGGGGAACCTCCTGCAGCTCCACACTGCGACCGTCGCCTCCGCGCAACTCGTCACCCCAGCAGATCACCGCGCCGTCCCGTCGTAGCGCGGCGAAGGCCTCCGCGCAAGCCGAAACCGTTGGAAGGGCGGCCGTTGTTACATGTTTTGAGTCTGAACACGTCTCAACTGCATAACTACAATTTATATCAATTTATATGATCAGTATTGTCTAAAAATTGTATATCTCAATTGTTAAATTGAGATATATATACCTCAACTGTATATGATCAGTTTGTTAAATACTTGTGTGTGTGACCTGAGCTGACATGAAATTCATCCTAATACATCCATTGTTCTTTATCATCATATTCCCCATAATTTTCCCTAAAATTGCTAAAACCATCATGTTTTTAACATAAACATCCTCATGTAAGAAGGCGAATCATCACCTTCTTAAAATAAACTGTGTTATTTTGAACCCTCAATAACCGCTGTGCTTCAAACCTACAAGGTGGTCCCCCCAGCTCTGTTGCTTTCTAAACCCCATCGTAGATATTAATCTAACCAGATCTACCATGGAATTCACCTCGGACTCGGACCTAGGAACATGCAGAACAACTTCGCGATTCTGAAGGTTGGGCACCACCTTCTACAAGGCGGTGCCCCCAGTTACAAGTTGGTTTATAAACCATAGTTTATCTACCATAAACCAACAAGGGTTCTAGTTACATAGTTTACTACTAGGCTTCATGGTTTAAGTATAAATTTATCTACCATGCACCCAAACGTGAAATTGTAGTTACGTCGTTACGTTCACCAACTTAGCTATGAGGCCACCACGCCTTCTCTGTGGCTTGGATGCGAATGACACCTTGCAACAAGGCTTGCACCTGACCTCGATGCTAGCGCATGTGTGCCAGAAGCCGTGGATGTAAAATCATTCCTATGCCATGAATTGCCGAAGTTGGGGCAAATGGCACATAACTAGGTTTTTTTCATGGAGGTTTTGGTTTATGGCATGTTTTTAATTGTTTTTAAAAGATGAAATGGGCATAGTTGATGGATGTGGGGTTTATGAACAGGCCAGAGGTTACTTTCATGGCTATAGCAGGAGTTTGTGCAAGAATAAGTTGGGATACGGGGCCCCTTTGACTATGGGTACCGAAACTAACATAGCTATGGGAAATCACTATTTGAATAGGTTTAGATCACCCATAAATGGTTAATTTTCCATAGCTATGTTAGTTTACTGGAGGGTAAATATATATATATATATACATCCACTTATAACTAGAACTGCACTTCCAAGCAAGGTGATGTCCTGGTAGATCCTGCTTTGATTGGTGATACGTGGGGCCCGATAAGCCGTAACCGGGCCCAATGTTCAGAACGTGGAGATCCACTCACCAAACATGAGGATTGGTAGTGTGCCAACTTTTTCTTAGCTAAGTGACTTATTTCAGACAGATCTATCTATTGATTGCAGATATAAGGAACTAGTGAAGCACTTCTGACTGGGGGCACCATCTTCTGGTTGGTGGTATACCTACCCCTCTGAAAAATATGAAAGTCAGTTGGGATGATAAAATTCCCAATATCTGGAAAAATCAAATTCATGTTCCAAACCACCAACCAGATCTTGTACCAGATTGTAAAGGGTAGCCAATTGCGAAAAAAAAAAAACGATGGCCATGGGTCAATGGTTTCCAATGATGTCCAACCAAACCAATGCTGGGCTTTGGACCTATGGAATCCCCTGGGTTTTTACCATGTCATTCTGGCAGTTGTGGATGTAAATTGCAAAAAATATAGGTATTGATTCATAGTCATATTGTGGTTTAAAGAAAAAGGAAGGATTTTTATCAATCTTGAGTATGAGAAAAAATGAGAGAAAAAAGTAGATAGATCAATCCTTGATGATGTTGATGTCATACACTGTAACGATACATAGATATATAGGTACTCATATTTCTATGGGTACATTTCCAGCGCCCTGTTTCATTCCTCCAAGGTGGTGCCGCACTGCCGCAAGTTAGGAGTTGGTTGTAAAACATTATAACACCCGTTTATCTATACATATGTATATATATATAACATTAAGTATATAGAACCAACTGAATTATATTGATATATAACATTAATAACATATATAACTGGTTTATATATGTACTATATAAAACCTTAATTATATTTATATAGACTATTTAAACATATTTACCAGAGAACCATAGTTAAACTAGTTTTTGTTTACCAACTTACCTATAATAAGTATAAGGCACCACCTTGTTATATTCTCCAAGCCGCTGCTGTCACCGCCGTTGTGTGGATCGCCCCAGGTCACGACCGCGCCGTCGGAGCGAATCGCAGCGAAGGCATAGAGGGTGGATTGAATAGCTTCCTTGGAAGATGGGGATGAGAGTCATGGGAAAAAAGGAATTTAATGGGATTTATGGGAGTTAATGGTATTTAATGGGATCTACTGCAATGGGATTTAATGGGATTTATGATTTATGGCTGATTTAATAGCTGGATGGAGACGGTGAGGAGAGTCGCTGGATCAGATTTTGGTCGACTGGCTTGTGACGCACCTCAATTAGCTGTGTGTTGTCATAATGACTTCCAAAAAAAAACAAACAACATCCCAACAGTCATATTTCAGGGATCAAAGCCACATATATTGATGCGATACACGCAACCATTCTCGCTAACGGCATCGTGTATTTTTTTCGCAATGGTCAGGTATTATTAGCAATTTAAGCTAGTGTTTGGTGAGTTTTATGGTTGCTGTTAGATAGTACACTGATACCCTGTACTGTACATAGCCCCACCAACTCACACTGGCTGGCTGGTAACTTCCCTGTATTATCTATATGTCCATGCTCAATGCGATGTTCCCATCAAACAAAGTTACATGGCAACTTACACTTAATTACAAAATATCCAACAATCAGCAACACATTTATTGTTAATGGGTTCTCTCCAAATGTTGGCTATAAATCTATGTATGCTGGGTGACAGAAAACTTAATTATATCTGAACAGCTTATAATTGAGAACAAATCACAAATGTTGATGACGGTCCGGGTAATTCCTATATAATACAGTTATGGCCCGAAATGCCAGATACAAGTACTAACACAACCACATTTATAGGATGTATTATCCCATTGAAATCACCAGTTACCATTAAATAATTGGTAAATGGCCATACCTATAGCCATCAGTTACTGGTTGGTGGTTTGAACCCCTCTGAAAAATATTAGTAAGTTGACATTATTATTCCCAATATATGGAAAAAACATGTTCCAAACCACCAACCAGATAGCCATCAGCTACGTGGTTTCTCCAGGTCCCCAGAAATTATACACATGTTCTGTGTAATTGTGGCTCAACCATTGGATGGCGGGGCCCACAACTTCGGGTTTCTGGCTCAGTGGTAAACCCAATAATCAACCTACTAATATGTTGGGTATGTTGGGGATGCTTTATACCCATTTGCGGTCAAAACTTGGGGATGGTTTAGGGTTTTGCTTTTACCACACTATTCTGGTTGGTGGTTGACCTACCCCTCTGAAAAATATGAGTTCGTCAGTTGGTATTATGACATTCCCAATATATGGAAAGTCATAAGATTCGCGTTCCACACTGCCAACCCGGACACTATTTAACGTCCATCATCTAATCCAACATATGTTGAGCCGTGCTCGGCGTGGCGTTGGGTGTCCCTAAAGCTCCATAGCTCCCCAGACCAAGGAGCCACATTGTGGAGATCTGCCTGACAGGAACCCCAAATACTGGGCGCATATTTGTTACATAGCCATGGAAAATCACCATGCTATTAATAGGTATACCAGGTAAACCATCTATTTCTATGGGCCATGTCCCATGGCTATGTTAGTCATAACCAGAGGGTATACATATTTAAATCTGTGAGTTCGAGTCATTTTATGTACAATGCACCCCATCACAGGCTAATCTGTGTTGGTAAAAATGCTCACCCATGAAACCACAAAATACCACAAACAGACCCACCATAAATCCAACAGCTAGTGTAGTTATAAACTATCTATTCATTGGATTGGTTTAAGGGAAAATCTACAGGAAACCATGGTTTTTACCATCAAATATAGGGGGTTCCTGTTAATTTTCCCATCATCCAATTGCAAATAATGCATGTTAGTATCCACATGTATCCACTATCTGTTGGATTGTAAGTATTTTATAGCTAGTTATAAATAATCGTATCTATCTTATCCAGGGGGCCTACATTGTAGGTATTGTAAGGTACTGGTATTCACTATAGATAAGATTAAACATGATCACACAGATGGATCAAATTATAGCCGGAAGCATCAAGAGTCTTTGGCCCCTACTCAATTGCTTGAAGACCTACCTGTGAACAACAAGAGCAACTGAAACCACCAATCAGTCTTGCGTTATTTTTTTGTTTCAAACCCCATAGACCTATAGATTTGACACACCTCTTCAAGTAGTATGTCGTATTCAATCTTGTACAACCAAGACAATGTACCGCATCCACATTCGGATCAAAACCTTGAGTTTCTATACATATTTCAAATATTCATTACTTGGCAAGTTCCAGTTCTAAGTGGACATATAACCATACAAGAATTGTTTCCCAACTTGTGGTTCAAATCCGATAGTTCTACCATGTCAGCTGGTGCCCCGAATCGGCCCCGGCCTGCCGTGCACTGCAATCGCCGCCAAACGCTGTCCTTGGGTCAGGAGCAAAGCTGTGTGGCTGGACCAGATCGGACGAAAGACTGGGAGGTTCCCAGGTTCCTTTGCTTTACCCAACATTGAAACACACTCATCCATGTTGATCCAATTTCATTGTGTTTCATCCATATTCCCATTCTTTTGGCCATCCAAGATTTAGGCTGAAGAGATTTCAATACATGTATACATGTATATATACTGTGTATATATATATATTTATGTATTCATTTCTTGATCAGAACCCAGTCTTCACCATGTTTGGAGTCATACAGTCGTACATGTCATTTCCCGGGTGATTGTCATCCAGCCCTGCTTGATGTACATCCTATGCCCCTGCCACCGTTGCCAAGGCACATTTTCGGCTATCCCCAGTTCTGGTCATCAAAAAGGTCCAGGACGGTACCCTACATATCATGTTGTTTGTATCTATGATCATATCATGTGGGTTTTCACAATGCCATGTTTACCATCCCCATCACCATAAACTTATAGGTGCTATAAACTTACCATTCCCAGTCATTTTTGTGATCTATTTTACCGTTGTGTTACCCACATGAAACATCCCATATCCCATGATGGGCCGCATGATATCCCTGGTTTTGCTGGTTAAATCCCAGCACTTACGGCTCAAATTCACGCTGACACTTGTTTTTTTCATGGTGAAAAATCATAATCATGGCATTTCAATGGTTAATGATGGTGAATATTAGTGGTTAATGGTTAATGATGATTAAGAATGATGCTTGCATTACTGAGACGGTCTCATCCCATCTCTGATGGTGAAAAAAACCTAGTACCCTCTGGTTATGAAAAACATACAATGGATGAAATAAATCCTGCACCAGTTGATAGGTGGTTTATACCACTATTCATAGTGTTTTAACCATCCAATGCAAGATTTCTTCCATCCACAGTAGCTATGGAAAGTTCATGAAAATTATCCAATTCGTCGATGATGTACAATGTGGGGCCCGCTAGTTAAAAGTTAGTTTATTACCCCATCTAACTAGTTTGTTATAACTCCTGGTAAAACTGTAGTTATTTGGCGCAACTTAGCTATCTAACGGGGGCCCCACAGTGTAGGATGATATACCTATTTCAAGTGGTATGTTTTTTCCATTTATACCTTTTCCCTACAATGATATACCTATTCCCTTAGCTCCTTGTTTTTTTTTTTCCATTTCGCAAAGCGTTAGTCATCACCAGAGGCGGCTGATTGCGGATTCCAAGGCTCTCACCCCAGGTGACCACAGAGCCTCAGTGATGGGACCGAAGGGATGGCGGCTTCGTTGGTTTTTTACGATAGAAGCCATGGTTTACCCATTGAAATAAGGGGAATATCAGTGGATATAGCTGATGAATATGGTTGATTGATTTCGTTGGGAAAACCATAATGGGGATATGAAATGATATGGGAAAATCCGGGATAAATGGAGATTTATAGCCTCTGGCAATTTGACAGTTCGCTATTGAAAATGGCCAATTGATAGCTGATTTACCTATTCAAGATGGTGATTTTCCATAGCAAACTGTAAGTTGATGTTTGCCAGAGGGTAGATTTAATGGACTACTCATGGGATATGAAATAATTAGTTGGGATTCAATATGGGGATATGGATGGAAGATATTCATAGATGGGATTTATCTAACTGAACCGTCCAAACATAGTGATTATAATGGGGATATGATATGGATTGATGTGGATTTACAAAAGAAGAAAATGAGGATATTCCGTTAGAATTCGGCGTGCTCTATTTTCAGACAAACCACTCTAAATGAGTAGGAACGACAAGGACATCTACACCCATTGACATCCCGTGTTTATCCCATGTTCCCATTACTTTTTCATCAAATGGTTGATTGCATCAATAAATATCACCAATATGCAGTCATCAATCACAACTACATTCCATACTATCCCCAGTATATGAGTTAAAATCAAAACATGGTATATCGATGTATATCGGGTGTGGTCATCCATTCAACAATGATCATTTACACATGATGGGTATACATACCATCCACCCAATATGGGCTATGCAATCCAACTTTTGACGCGGGGGCTCGTGAGTCCAAGACTGCACCATCTCATATCCCAAGCACTGGTGGCGGGAAAACAAGATAATAGACACATTGAATTAAGGCATGCATGCACCTAATTAGATCAAACATCCACATGTAGACCATCCATCTTGCGTCTGCGTTTCATGAAAGCAGCGTATCCATTGAATCTGGCAGCAACACTAGGTTCATCCAATGGAGGAAACGACAGAGTAGGTTGTAAGCCAGGAAAAAAGATCGGTTCATTCAGTGCATTGCCCTGTAAATTGGTCATGTATTTTGCAACGAAGTCCATGGTAGTCTCACTGTTGGGGAGAATCGGCCTCCTACCAACTCCAGCCACCACTCCTTTAAGCCCCAATCGAGTGAGGGATCTGCACTTGAAAGTCTTGAAAGAAGGAAATCCAACTTTTGACCATGTCACATACATTGTTGCATACATATCAATTACATATACGTTACATTACATTACATTACATTACATTACATTACATACATATATATATATATTATATACATGTACTCATGTATATACATATGATTACATCTGTATACATATATATATATATATACATATATATATATATATATATATATATGTATTCAAATGTATATAATTGTATGTATATGTATATATATAGATAGATTTCATACGTATGTAAATACACATATACATGTGTGTAAATGTAGATCCCTATGATATCCCCGTATCTTGATAATATCCTTTTAATACCCTCTGGTAAACTAACATAGCTATGGAAAATCACCATGTCTAATGGGTAAATATAGATTATAGATGGCAATTTTCAATAGCTATGTGAAAAGTTATCGGAGGGTATAAATCTCCATTTATCTCGGATTTTCCCATATCATTTCATAGCCCCATGACATATCCCAACTAAATCAATCAACCATATTCATCAGCTATATCCACTGATATCCCCCTTATTTCAATGGGTAAACCATGGCTTCTATCTCTTCGCTTCTCCAAGACACCGTCGCCCTTGAGAGCCGCAAAGGCTCCAGCTTGGAAGAAAGCGGCGGCATGTTGCACCTGAAGCAGCCATTTCTGTGCAGCTATTTCTACAGTGTAAACATGTGGGGGGTTCCTAAAATGGGGATACCCCTGATACCCCTAATTAGATGGTTTATAAATAATGGTTAATAATGATGGTTATAGAAAATGATGGTTAAATCATTATCATGGTTTATAAATGATGGTTAATAATGATAGTACCACCATTTATCTGATGTTTAACATGGATAATCCAAATCTGAAATGGATGATGACTGGGGGTAGCCCCATTCCAGGAACTCTACATGTGTATCTAGGCATTTTAGGCTATGAACATTCGGATTTGAACAAGAGAAATAGGAGTTATAAATGTGTTTTTCCATTTACCCTCTGGTTATTTAACATAGCCATGGAAAATGGCCCATTGATAGATGGTTTACCTATTAAAAATTGTGATTTTCCATGGCTATGTAACAAATAACCAGAGGGTATTTGCCAAAATTGCTGGAGATTATCGCCAAAAAACACCGATTCATCAACAATTCACCAAACATTGACCACGCGCTGTCTGTTGTTGTCCCGCCTGTTGCACATCGACCAACTGCTCCTTGATGGCAGGGGGTGGATCACCACCTAAGCAGAGTGATGTCTGGTCATGATGAATTTGACCAGCAAGAATTGTGGGGGATATAGTAACCCTCAAAAAACAATGGGAAACACAAATCCAAATAACATATATGTATCATATGGTAATGAATTACTTATTTGTTTGTGTTTTTTTCGGGTTTACTATAAAATGGGTGTAAAACCAGTGACTATATACATGGGGAATGTAGCGATTGAACAATGGATACCCTGAGAAATACACTGGGTACAGTGAGACGGTGCAATGGATCGGTTCAAGGGAACCATTGCGTGAAAGGGGTTGATTTAGACCTTCAAAAAACTCGGGGTTTCCATCGTGTCTTGCAATTCTTGCAGATGCTCCCTAAACCTAATAAACAAGTTGGGGAAGGATTCATTTGGGAGTCAAAACCCCACAGATTGTGCGGCAATTCGTACCTGTAACAATCAAGTTACAAGTTATTCTCAATTTGGACCCATGGCATTTTATCAGCCGGCAAATTGGGACCTGAAAGCTGGGGGCAGCTAGTAGATGAGTCTTGTCCCGGACCACTAGTTCCACGAAATATAAGTGAGTTCTGATTCGGAAACAGGTTGCTACAGTTATGTTATGGCCCTTAACAGTTATAAGTTATAAATGGAATTATTAAAACTCCTATACCTATAGTAGTTATAAATCATGAAATAAGCCCATTTATTGTAACTGTTAGTTGGGCTATAACTGTATACCATCAAATCCATTCAAATCCAAAGTTGCCTGGCAAATTCTTTCAACCAAGCCTGGGAATCTGATAGGTTTTGTATTGTGGTGATCTAGGATGGAAGATCGTCCATCATGGATTATTATGCATATTGTACATCTATATATATATATACACATATACATACATACATATATATATATATACATATATATATATATACACATGATTATATATATCATATAATACATTATGTACCAATATAAATCCAACTATAACCCATGCAACTGGTACATTGCTAGCGCAGCTCATGGGAACCGACCTTTGGTGGTGTTTCCACATGTTTCCACAGCTCCCGCGAAGAGCTGCAGCTGTTCATCCTCATTCATCCTTAGATACCAAAAAAATAATGAGTGGAAATATAGGCATATATATATATATTGAGTATATATATATATATATAGAGAGAGTAAATATGTATATGTAAACCTTGGATACTTATTTGCCACATCCCATAACTAGCGCTAGTCACCAGCTATCCTGAGGTCCCCATGGCTTCCAACTTCCACCAGGATGCCATATGCTGCCGATCCCCAGCTCGTCACCGATCCCGAGGCCGCCTCCACGTACCTTGAAGAGTCGGTGCCCGAGGGCGGAGTCAACGGCATGGCCCGAGTTATACCAGTTAGAAGTACTAACAAGTCACCCCATTTATAGAATGTATAATCCCATAGAAACAACCAGTTATCACTAATAAATGACCATAACTGTACAAGGTAAGCGCTACTTGATGAAGTTGGATTTTGACTAGGTTCATGTCATATGGTTTAGGGATATGGTAGAGATTTTTCGAACTACTTCATCAGTGTTATAAAATGTTATACACCAACAAACGTGGCCAGGAAGGACACCACCTTGTATCACCAGTTTAAACGTAGTAGGGTTTGTAAACCAACTTAAAACTGGGGGCGGCAACACTTTCTAGCCATAGACACATCTGAATTAGCTGATGATCTATCCATTGAACAGCCGAGAAAAAATGATAAATATAACAAATGACGCTGGACCCAGCAATTGGGCTGACACTTAACAGAAACTGAAGCCACTTGGGGCGTTTCTCAAAATAGGGGATCCCATTTTACCATGGGCTACAATACAAAAACTGCAAAAACGGTCTAATTTTGGATCATTAGGGGGTACTCCCATTTTAGGAAACCTGCAAATGACCTCTGCAATTGATTGATGGTCAAGATGACGCTGGAAACAAACACATGGCTGAAAATCTCGTCTACGTCTAGGTCTATGATCAGCGGTACTGGTTTCAACGGGGGCAGTGATCGAGTTTCCCGTTTGACAACAGGAAAACCCCAATCTGTCCGGATCATCAGCTGGCGCCGTTGGGCAATATCTTGGTGGAAGAACTACTGCTAGACATGATCTGTAAGTTGTATTGAAGGGAGAATTTTCACTGGAATTTCTTACCTTTCCAGGGATTTACTGCATGAACATCCCTTCACAGTTCCTACTTAGACACTTAGAAACAAGTTCTTCACAGTACCCCAGTGCCCCTACCCTTGGCTCCTCTAATCTGGCAAGTGACCAGTGACAATTCACATTTCCGTGTTTTCATCATTCATTTCTATATTCTAAGTCTAGTGGCTAAATTTCAAAAAGTGCATTATCTGCTTTTGAAATCTCTAAGCTGGTAAGTGGAGATCTGAGTTTCATTGATTTCCCCTATGTTCAATACTTAGACCCTCTAAGTATGGCAAGTATGCTTAAAAATCGGCAAAAGTCCCAAGTCATAGTGGTTACATTATATATCCGATTTTTCGAGGCACTTGGAGGGTCCTGAAGGGTCCTGAAGGGTCTGGGTATGTACATCATCTGTTAGCTTTGACTATAAAATCTATACACAAAAGCTGCCCCGATTTCGTTGACCCCAAAAAAACCACGTCGTCGAGTCACGCGAAGGCCCGTGAATAGCGGTTGGACGCCAACACTCCATGGGGTCGAGCAACGGCCTGTGGCCATGGGCCATGGTGGTTTGAGACAAGAAGTCTGATTCAACCAACAAAAATAGAGTTTACCAAAGAAAATTGAGATTTCACCAACAAAAACACATTTTTTTTACTGCCAAAATGAACCAAACTGGTGATTTGTACATCAGATCTCCTGACACTTCCAGTTGAAACAGATCCCTGTGACAGGCTGAGGCGATTGGCCTACAAGATCTTTTGGCTGTTCGAGCCTGTTGGGGGGGTTAATAGCCGCTATCCATACTCATAGAAGATTTTCCCATGGCTATCGTGGCGGAGTCCTGCACAGAATCGCCATCGTGCAGCCCAGCCAACTCCAAGCTGCTATTCTCCTAGGCGGATCTCACTGATAAAGCAAGGTGTCAATAAGGCTTCAATGAAGGCTGATAGAAGGGCCCCCAAATGATAGCTAAGTTGACTTATAATCTGGTTGATCATGATTTATACGGAATATACTTGTAGTTGTTGGGGTTTAACCAACTTATGGGGGCATCACTTTATATATACATACAGAGTACAAGCGCATGATAGTGTAGTAGTGTATGTACGATGCACTGTATATGCATGTTTCTACGCAAAGATGTAGTAATGATACTTCTACACAAAGATGGAATGATAGTCCAATGACCATTGTGTTTACATCCATCCAGCTCCAGATTTTCAGATGGAAAACATCCGACCGCCAAATCAATGGATTGATCAGTGAAATCGAAGGGTTCCCTCCCAAAGGTCAACCCCCGATAAGCAAAACTTGTTTTTGAGGTTATTGAACCCTATCAACAATTACATATGATTCTTAATTGTTATAATAGGGTTGAATGCTCTCTATTTCGTATTTCAACCGCATGATATCGCATGATATTGTTGGTCATGATTTACCTTTTTCTTGGTCCAGTAAACCAAGCCCTTCAATTATCTTTAACTAATTCTGGGAAGTAATGATTGGCAAACATACCCTTTGTTTATATACCCATAGCCAATCCCAATTTATGTTTATCTATTCCCTATTTTATCCTAATTCTTATGATGGGATTAGTTTACATTGACTTACATGATTTTCTTTCAAACATGATTTGATAAGTTTACACTGGCTTAGATTCATACGTTCTTACAGTTATGGCCCAACTAACAGTAATGACATAACAGCTATAACTAGTTGATTATATATATATATATATGTATATCGTTCTAAGCCCATAAAAGTAAGTGATAGTTGGGCCGCAACTGTAGGGAGTTGGTGGTTCTATTCTTTTTGTGTTCGAAACGCCTCGCACCACCTCCGGCACCAGCCATGGCTTCAGCTCTGCACCGCGCCTGCAGCACTTCACCGCTGGCCACCAAGGAAGCAATGCCCACCTGTCATCGAGTCTTAGCATTGAGATTTTTTGGAAAATGCCTATGGTAAAGAACCCATGGTTTACCCATTGAAATAAGGGGGATATCAGTGGATATAGCTGATGAATGACGGTTGATTGATTATTTTGGGGATTACCCTGTGGTAATTTGTTACATAGCTATTGAACATGGCCCATTTATAGTGGATTTACCATTGAACAGTTTACCAAAGGGTAATGGAAGAATCATGATTTTTCGGAATGATACCATGGGATATCCTTATGTTCAGACAAACCCAAATATCCACTCAACTTACCTTCCTAAAAACTAAGGTAGATCTGTAAAACACGCCAGGCATGTAGATCTTTTTCTGTTTCCCCATGAAATTTTACAGATCTTTGAAGGTTTACCCCAAGGTAGATAAGATTGAATTTGGTCCATTCGGGAGATAAATTGCGCCAAGGGTCGCTTAGTTACGGTGGTGCCCTAGTTCATGAGCTAAGTTGGTAAACAAACCTAATACACATGTTTTACCACGGTGCACTGTAGATACAAGGTGCCCCATACTTAGCCAAGCTGGTTTGTAACTAGGCAATTTTTGGTTTATAGGAGATGTATCTATAGTTGATGGGGGTTGTAAACCAACTCATAACTGGGCGGAGGGCACCACTGTGTATATCAAACTGCTTAATGGATCTTAATGGAATTTTTACAGTAGCAACCATCACTGGATGGCACCGCATTGCAGATGGTTTTGACAGAATCTGGGATGAAACCAGTGAACAGGTGGAATTTCTGCATGGTTTGAATAACAAAACTGGAGTAGTACAATTCGAGTCCTTCAACTCAGAACAACTTGTCTAAGATCATATGAGATCATATGAGTTGCGGTCATTTCAGCTACGCACATAGGAATTGCCAGCACACTTGGAGATGTATTTATTGGCTTTCGAAACAATCCCAGTCGCATTGAATATGATGGCATGTTCTTGACAAAACTGACAAAACTACTGTGGATGGTTGCGAAATCCTGCACCAGCTGATACACGGTAAACATCCCAATATTTAAAGGGTTTCAACATGTTTCAACCATCCTTTTGGTGGTGCAGGATTTCGCTGGCCATCCACAGTATCACTATCAATCTAACCTACCTTTCTCCAACACATGCCACGGAAAAGATGGGCACATGCCACTGATTGGTCATCGGTCATCCCATTCATCGACTTTTGCAGGTCAATACCCCAGCGTTGCGGATTTGCGGATTTCTGGTGAAAAAACCTGTGAGGAATACCTGGCTTTTCCACTATTTCTGTGGATGTCTGAGGATTTCTGAGGATCTTCAAACAATACCCCAATCCCTTTCGTGAACTTCGGCCATGCTCTCCGACTCGCATTCGAGGCAGTTGGATGAATTCTGAAGCCGAAGTGGTCCTCAGAAAGCACCGCCAGCTGTTTCAACGCCAGACGCAGTTGCTGCGCTAGGCGTTTCATGAAAGCAGCTCCTCCCTTTTTGCGGTTTATATATTGCCATGGTGAGCCTGAAGTACAGGGAATTGATGACCATAGGTGTGGGGGCGCGGTTTGGGTTTTGTATTTGACAAGTCATGTGAGGACCGAAATCCAAGTACTTCAGTGGAAACATGTGGAGACATACCGCCTCTCCATCGCTGCTGGAAACTTAAGTGTTTCCAACGCAAACGACCATCCGGTTGCCTGTTTGGCGTGGTGGCATCTTTGTCAGCTCCTATTGGTTGGCTAACGGCTATCCCATTGTACTGGTTGCGGTGCCCTTTACCAATTATGAATGGTCAAAAGTGGGGTTAATATAGGGCCAAACTATAGTTATATATATATACCTATGGTAAAAAAAAAAGTGGGGTTAATATGGGGTTATGGTTAACATAGCTATATACATTCCATAAATGGGGCTATAAGTGGTAAAGGGCCAGTTAACTGCGGTTAATCGGTGGAATCGCCCATACAAGGACAGTAGGACGATTTGCATAAAACAAAACAACTGGATAGTTTAAATGTTATCATAAATAACCACCATTGATGTGGTATACTGTTGTATTATGGTATCACTATGTTATCTAACATTATATAACTATTGTATCATCACTCATCACCATCAATATCACCATCATATCATCACAATCACTACAGTTATGGTCATTTATCAGTTATAAGTACTTATAACCCCATTTGTAGAATGTATAATCCCATTTATAACCAGATATAACTGGTAGCCATGGCCATAACTGTATGTTATATAACTGTTATGTATCTATTGTTCATACTTTAATCCCATGTTGCTGATGTGAAAATAGAGATCTGTTTCTCTGATAAATATTTAAGGATATCCCGTGGTATCCAGATATGTCCCGTGGCTATTCCCCCACGGTTTGATGATTAGGTTCCATATGAAATCCATGAATAGCCCATGGTACAGAAAGAATTTATGTCGCGGTCAAAAAGGTAGAGCCGTAGAGCCTCCAAATGTTATGTTGGTTGATGTTCACCCCATAAACATCCATAAACTCGTTCGATATATCACCAACGCAACAAACATGTCACTGTCTATTTCCATGATATCCCCATTATCCCAATCTTGATGGTTGAACCCCAATGTTTGGTGATTAAATAAAATTAAATCAATAAATCTATGTCACTTTCCAGGGTCCCGGTCCCTTGCCCAGAAAAAAAAGAGCATAACGCCACCATCCATAGCACCTGCATCTGCCGCTGCGCTGCAGCACGCAGCTCGCGCACTTGACTTTGAGGCGACACGTGGAGTGGCGCCTGGAGTGGTGTCGACCAACAAAAGGTGAGGGTCAACATGGGTTAACACCCAAAATGGAGGCTTTTACCAAGAAACATATAGAAAACACATAGAAAACATATAGAAAACATGGATTTTTTCTCCAGAAACATGTAGGAAAAAAAACATGGATTTAACAACGAAGTTGGCACATGTTTTTTATCGGAAGATCTAATCGAACCCATCCAATTGTGATTTGCTTAAATTTGCTTTCTCAAAGAACATGTGGATTCTACGATCGGTGATCGTTTGTGAACTTCACTAATTTAAGGTGATTAAGTTGTTTAAGCTTCAGTGTGTGCTAGTTTCATCACGGTTTTCAAACTGTAAAACGATTACAGTTATGGCCCAACTCACAGTTACACATGGGCTGATTTCATGATACATTTCACCAACTATAGGAATTATGTTTCATTCCGATTATATCCACTTATACTTGTTAGTTGGGCCATAACTAACATAACTATTCAAAATCAATTGTTTTAATGGGCAAATCAACGAACTAAATGGCCATGTTCAATAGCTTTCCAACAGTTTACCAGAGGGTAAAAACCGGTGGAAATGACACAGACCCACCTGACGGCCGCTGAGCAGCACCACGTGGATGCAGATGCTCATGGCTCCCGAGCGGCTCCCGAGCTACGATAGCAATCCTACTTTGTTTAGTACAAGGTGGTGCCCCAGTGAGGCAAATCGCTAAGTTGGGCCAAAATGGGCCAAATATATAACTCCCATTTCACTATAGGGTTTATGGCAGATATAACGAACTAGTATTCATGGGGCTTATAAACCAACAAACATAACTGGTGGGCACCATCCTGTTTGAAAAGCTCTGACTTAGGATTATACAAAGTACTAAACAATTGGTATTTGTAGGATATAATTGATATATTCCTAGTTGATGATAGGTAAACTGACTGGGTATATAATTATGGTTAGACGATGTCAAAAGCTAGACAAACAAATACTTGTCCGTGATCCACTGGGTGATAGTCTATGTTCGAATTGTGCTTAGGATAGCCAGACCATGGGTAAAAGCATCCATCCATAACTGGAGAATGTTTCATGGGGTTCTCGACTTTGGACCATCCATCGCACAGCGAAAGAAGCTCAGCAGTTTCCAAGGAAATGATGCTATCTGTTTCTGTGAAAAAAACAACAAATCTCCACTAAAAAATGTCTCTGTATCTTAGCCACGGTATACTAATTTGTGGTATACCTACCCCTCTGAAAAATATGAAAGTCAGATTGGATCATCATCCCAACTATTGAACTATTGGGGAAAATAAACATGTTCCAAACCACCAACCAATATATCTTCACTCGATTTCTGTTGTAAAACACTTTTTTCTGCTGTGTTCCTTTGAACATGACACAGGAAACCGTCATTGAATTCTTCTGATTTGTTCGCCACCGGCAAAAAAACAACATCATATTTCCAGACTGTTATAGATGATATCTGGTTGGTGGTATACTTTCCCCTCTGAAAAATATGAGTTCGTCAATTGGGATCATGAAATTCCCAATAAATGGAAAGTCATAAATTCCATGTAAGTTCATATTTCCAGGTTTCCTACTTTTCTATCTATTTCATGGCCTTGCGTAATACAGTGAAGGTATTTCTCGGTGCATCCGAGCGCTTATTAAACAGGGCATTCACTGAAGCCAACCCAAAGATGCCTGGTTTTTTGTTCAGAAACATGGGGATGGTAAAACTCATGGATTTACTGGAAATTACCAACATATCCAACATGTTTTTTTTTTAACGAACATGTTCCATTGTCACGTTGGATTGTGTGAAGATAGTGATTGACTACGTAGAACACGTTCCCCTGAAATGGCTGATTTCAGTTCATTCATATCCGTGATAATATTCATATGTATGTTCATGATTTTGAAATTGCATCAACTCTATACTCGAAATATAGCGTTTTAAAAATGTTTTTATAATCTGTTTTATGTAATGATTTTGATGTGCGCACCTACGTTGACATGTCAACCCACTGTCCAAGCAGTAAACTGCGTGGAGTTGAATAAACAAAATCATCAGGCTCAGTGAAAGAGAAACAGAAAACCGACAATCCTACAATGTGGGCCCCGCTGGTTATAAGTTGGTTTATAACCCCATCTAACTATAGTTATAACTACCATAAACCCTATAGTTATTGTAGCTATTTGGCCCAACTTAGCTAACGAACTGGGGCATAGCATTGTACAACGTGCCCTCCCATCTGGGTCCCAAGCTAAACAACTGGAACCACAGGAGTCTTTCAATTCGCAGCTAGTCACGTCCTGGCCGGGGTGAAAAACATTAGGGGATCACTATGGTAAGTCCACCATAAGTTGGGATATAGTTCCTACAGTTATAGTCATCTATCAGTTATAAGTACTAACAAGTCACCCCATTTATAGAATGTATAATCCCATAGAAATAACCAGTTATAACTGGTAAATGGGGGATCACTATGGTTATCTAAGCCACCTCTTAGTGAGACTGCACCCAAGTAGTACCAGCCACTCTGCAACTCTTCCGGTGTTTTGAAAAACTGGATGTTCATATGTGTTTATAGCTTACATACACTGTGTTTTTTTTCATATGCGTTTACAAACAAAATATAACAACATGTTCAATGATAACTTCCACCTACATACGTGTACGTGTAAAGGGCGCTGCGACTTGGACGCACCGTGACGCACGGAACTCGGTCCAGCAAAGCACCCGGTAGTCAAAGGTGGCAGTTGGAAATGCACTACAAAGTGGGGCCCCCGTTTGATAGCGTTCAGTTGGGCCAAATAATTACAATAACTAGGATTTATGGTAGTTATAACGAACTAGTTAGATTGGGGTATAAACCAACTTAAAACTAGGGGGCCCAACATTGTACAAATATGGAGGTTTTAAAGTGGTGGGTTTTCCGTTGCCATGCTTGATTACCGGAGGGTATGTACATACATTATCTAAATATATTGTGTATGTGGCCTGTGATGTCATATCTTCCAAATGAAGACAAAACAACTCATGGTACAGTTTTGGCCCTTTACCAGTTATAAGTACTAACAAAACCCCATTTATTGCATGTATCATCCCCTAGAAACACCCAGTTATAACTAATAAATGGCCATAACCGTATGTTACACCCATCGCTGACAAAGTGCAACTCACCTTTCTTTAAATATGTCCTCGCTCTCCTTAAATGATTTGGACGCCTGAAACATGTGGTTTGTTCAAGGGTGACTTAAATAATTTAGTTCACTTAGAAAACTTATTTAACATATATAAACATGTTGTTTGGTGAACATTGAAGTATACCTCCATGAAAATGGCTTTACAAAGTATGATAGTTGCTGTTTATAGACAAATATTGTAGATCTACAGTGATAGATTTTTATAGATATATGATACTTGCTTAGATTGTTATGATAAAATATATGTATATATATGATTGATATAAATACATATAAATGCATATAAATACATATAAATACATATAACACATAACATATATATATATACATAGATGTTATAAAATTAGATATACAACATATTAAATGATTTGGATTCGGGTGTCAAGGCACATTTTTTTTCGTTCCGGTCCTGCCAAGTGGAATTGCTGGAGTTCTCCGCAAGGAGCTGCACCTCCGCAGTTTCATGCGGAACACCGTAGGAAAACCATAGGAAAACCATGAATCATGGTGCTTGATTGGGATTTATAGCTGATACCCACTGGTTGTTTAACATAGCCATGGAAAATGGTCTATGAATTTATACATGTTTTTTGATGATATACCTATTAAACATGGTGATTTTCCATAGCTACGTTAAATAACCAGAGGGTATATACGAAGCTGGTGAACACAACTACAATTTCACGTTTGGGATTATGCTAGTTCATGTAGTTTAATTCCGAACTAGTTAGATGGTTTTTTTCAACTAACCCACGTATATCTTTTCTTGGAGGATATACCCCACATTGCAAAATGTTATGGATATACCCTCTGGTAATTTAACATAGCTATTGAAAATGGCCAGATATAGTGGATTTTCCCATGAAAAAATGTGATTTTCCATAGTTATGTTAAATTACCAGAGGGTACCTGTAATATACCCAAAAAAAACGATCGGTAAGATGGTTACCATTTGCCTTCGGGGCGAAGCCTCGGCGGTTTATCTAACTCTGGCGCCAACCAAATTGGATGATGTTTTTTGATTTTTGTTGTGTGTGGCAAACAGATTGGGAACTAATTCGGAACTATTTGCATATGATGCATATGATTGGGATGTGATCTGAAATAATGACTATGAATATGATATAATGGGAATCGTTTAGGGCCGGGTGTATTTAGGGTTGGTTTAGGGTTTGCTTGGGGTTGGTTTAAGGTTTATTTAAGATTGGCTTAAGGCTTATCCAAGGTCGGCTTATAGTGTATGTCTGGAGTGATTCAAAACCCTACTTGCGACGCCCGTGGCATGTCGATTCCTGTTCAGCGCGCTGACCGGCTGGATCAGGGGTGGACCACCAGGCCGAGCGAACTCCGTCGAAGGCATCACGACAGAGGAGGTCATAGGCTTGCTCCAGGTGGCTTAGGGTTGGTCGATGACTAGGCTTGGCTTTACTGAGACGTCATAAGCTACTTCTGAAGAATGCAATAACTTCAGGTACAAAGACTACTGTATCCAAGTTACCTTCTTGTGAAGATCCCATACATTTGCAACTGGTGAGAAAGCATGGTAGAAAAAACATGAAAAAAAACACTGACAAGAAAGAAACTGGTGGTTGTTTCCAATTTTCCAACATTCAGCATTTCACAGATCCAATTCCATATGTTTCTTTGATAATCAAAGCAACCAATGCTGAGTACTGTGGATTGTAGGGAGTTTGGGAATGACAACTGTCTCGGTTATTAAAACATGCTGTCTCCGTTGGCAACTTCCACGGGCCATGAGTGCCATGAGATTAGTTAAGAGGTTCGTAAGTGGGTTAGCCCATCAGATACCCAGATACAAGATGCAACAAGGGATAAGGTGATATAAAAGACTATAAACATATCATATGAGCATATATAAACGAGTTGTGGTCTTGGTGGTTCACTGCAATGGGTTTCAGTATACCTCCACTTAAAACTGGACATTAACCCTACTTTCCCCACTGAACTGGGATTGTGATCCGCTAGCACTGGACCCATGTTGGACCTCAGACCTATGGTTTGTTCATATTTATGTACTTCCCAAAAGATTTCCAATATTATCAGGGTTCCCAGATATGGTACCAAAAATTAAATATATATATATATATAGTAGCCATCCAAATAAGCCATGCGACATACGCATCCCATGTTTTCATCATATTAAAGCAAGTTAAAACCACATCTCAGATGGTGTAAAGCATTTTATAAACAACATCCCATGAAAAATGTCATGAACACATATTAAACATTATTAAGCCACATCTTATAGATGGTGTTTTTACAGTAAGTCCCATCAAAATCCAACAAAAAGACATGTATTAAAACCAAAGCCCACTGGTATAGGTCAAGTCATTGAGCAACCCATTCCAATTAGATGCTTCATATCCTGGTTGGTGGTTTCAACACTTCACTTCCTCGGTGGACGCTGCTCT